GGTGAGTCGGGGCGCACGCGGGCGGCGGCAGGCGGCGCCTGGGCTCTGCGGTGCGGGGGCCTCGGCTGGGGGGCCGGGTCAGCTCCGGAGTCTGGGCGTGGAGCAGGGGACCCGTGAGAGCCAAGCGGGATCGGGCGTGTCCGGCTCACCGGTGTCGTGCAGGAAGAGCACCAGCGTGATCCCCCAGGTCAGCACGGTGTGGCCGGTCCGCACCAGGACCCCGGGGCTGAGGAGCGCCCAAGGCGCCATCGCCCCGCTCCGGGCCCCACCCGGAAGCAGCGCCCAGAGGGGCGGGTCCCAGACGGGAGAGGGGCCGCGGCCACCCGGGGATTGGCGGGCCTGGGAGGTAGGCGGGGCCTGCTAAGGTCAGCGAGGCTTCCTATTGGGTGGTAGCCACGGCCCAGTGGGCCCGCAAACCAACAGGTGCCTGAGGAGCCTGAGGGCGGGGTCGGCGCGCGCGCAGCCGGTACCTCCTCCAACTCCAGCCCCCACAGGCCAGGTAACTTTTGAAAGCCGGAGAGCAGGCCCGCCGCCCCACCCCGCCCCGTGGGCTCCGCCTCCAGGGCTCGCGCATGCGCGTAGCTGCCTGGGCGCTCCGCAGATCAGGCGCTTGCTGGCCCCAAGGGTTGAGGGCGAAGGCCTCGTGAGACGCAGGTCGCTCCACAGTTGCACTTTCGTTTCCTCGTCCTATCCGGATACTGCAAACGGATGGTGAAGAGTGGAGGTCGTGGTGCAGATACTGCCTATGAGTGGTCCAGCCCTGGTTGGAATCTCAAATACTGTACTAGCGCTGTGCCTGGCCACTGAGTGTTCCCTGAGCGAGTTACTGAACTCTGAGCTGGTTGCTACCCACATAAGGAGATGACAGTCGTACCCACCTTCGCAGGTGGTTGGGAGGATAAGATAATGCAAGTTAGAGCCAGGTGTGGTGGCACACGCGTATAATCCCAGTACTTGGGAGGCTGAGGCAGGAGGATCCTTGTGAGTTTGAGACCAGCCTAGGCTACAAAGTGAGCTCAAGGCCAGCCTGACCTGCATAGCGAGACCCTGTCTCAAAAACAACAACAACAAAAAGATAATGTAAGTGCAGGCCAGGCGCAGTGGCACGGGCCTGTAATTGTACATACTGTACTCGGAAGGCTGAGGCAGGAGGGTCACAAATTCAAGGCCAGCCTGGCAAACCTTTTGTTAAAATCTGAAAAACGGGGGGCTGGGGATTTAGCTCAGCGGCACAGCGCCTGCCTGGCAAGCAGGAGGTCGTGAGTTCAATTCCTGGTACCAGAAAAAAAAACAAAAAAAAAATCTGAAAAACGCTGGGCATGGTGGCGCACGCCTGTAATCCCAGTACTTGGGAGGCTGAGGCAGGAGGATCCTTGGGAGTTCGAGGCCAGCCTCGGCCACAAAGTGAGCTCAAGGCCAGCCTGTACTGCAGAGTGAGATCCTGTCTCAAAGACAAAATAATAATAATAATAATAATAATCTGAAAAACGACTGAATTTGTGTCTTCTTGGAAGGGTGCTGGCTTCACATGCTGGAGCATCTGGGTTTGGTCCACAGTACCAGAAACAACAAAAACGAAATTGTCAGGCATGATGGTGCATGGCTGCAATCCCAGAATCTAGGAGGCTGATAGAGGAGGATCACTGCAAGTTTGAAGGCAGCCTGAATTACATGAGGAGACACTGTCTCAAAAAACAAACCACGGCAGGGAATCAGCAGCACAGCACCTGCCTGGCAAGTGCGAGGCCCTGAGTTCGATTCCTGGTACAAAAAAAAAAGAGAAAAAACCACTAGCTGGGTGTTGTGGCACATGCCTGTAATCCTAGCACTTCCTAGCTGAGCCAGGAAGATTGCTGCAAATTCGAGGCCAACTTTAGCTACCCAGTGAGTTCAAGGCCAGTCTGAACTACATTGTGAGACCTTGTTTCAAAAAAAAAGAAAAAAGCGAAAAATAAACTAGGCCAGTCATGTGTGTGAAGTGGCAATGACAGGAGGTGAAATTCGGGCTTCCCAGGGCATCGTGGGTCCCCTGCCCCAGACAGGGTCTTACATATTGTTCAGTCTGGCCTTGAACTATGTACCCGGGTTGGCTTCAAACACAATGGCGATCCGCCTGTCTCAGCCTCCTGAGTGTTGGGATTACAGCCATGTGCCACCACGCTTGGCTCCCCAGGGCCTCTGATGATTCGTTCCAAAGGAATGGCTCTCAGATCCTGCAGAATGACTGAGCAGTTGGTGATACAGACTCCAGCCCCTGTTCAGCCACCTACTAAGCCGGTGCTGGCTACAGCAAACCTGTAAATTCTTTTGGCAGCCTTGAATTTCTCAGGCAAGCAGTCAAGGGATTTAGGACTGGTTGTCTCGAGGATGCGACCTTGAGCTGCTGGAACTGGGTCAGGGTTTAGCTACCCTGATGAGGGGGAGGGGAGTGGAGAGTGTGGGGTGCAGGTCTCACCAGGAAGAGGCAGGCACAGCGCCCCCCTCAGCCAGTCTCTTTTGGGATCAGGACTCTGGATCTTAGCAAGGGGATACAGTTAAGAGAACAGCTGGGGTGGGTATGGTGGCACATGCCTGTCATCCCATCAGTGCGGAGGCTGAGGCAGGAGGATTGCCGTGAGTTGGAGGCCAGCCTGAACTGCATAGTGAAATCTGACCTCAAAAACAAAAAAAAACGCATAAAAAGGGCTGGGAATGTAGCTCAGGGTGAGGACCCTGGGTTCAATTCCCAGTACAGACAAAAAAAAGAAAAAAACAATACAAGCCGGGCGTGGTGTCGCACGCCTATAATCCCAGCACTTGGGAGGCTGAGGCAGGAGGATCATTGTGAGTTCGAGACCAGCCTGGGCTACAAAGTGAGCTCAAGACCATCCTGAACTGCACAGTGAGACCCTGTCTCAAAAAGACAAAAAAAGAAAAAAACAAATTCCCAGTACAGTACCACCAAATAAAAGGTAAGAAAGAGTCACAGTTTGGAGGCACTAGGACAGGCTGGCAGTAGGGTTCCTCGCCATCCCATGCCCATGTCTGCCCCCATGGTGGACAGGCTGGCACCTGGCGGCACAGTTTGATAACTGCAGCCCAGGTCACTCACACCCCTCTTGCTGGGAGGTTTGTCCCCGAGGGCCTTTGGTTTGATGCTGATGCGCCCAAAGATTTTCACGGATTCCGCTTCCCAACGGAGAGCACGTTTCTCATGGAGACGGTAACATGGCTTTGTGGTTTGGACGTCAGCCTGCTCTTACAGAGACCGTCGTGTTTGGACCCTGGACTGCGGCCAGTGTGCCAGAGCCCTCTCCCGGCTCCGCCCCCCCTCGGTACTGGGGATGGGACCCAGGGCTTCATCCATGCTAGGCAAATGCTCTGCCAGCCACTAAGTTATATCCCTGCCCCTTGAAACATTTTGAGACACAGTCTTGCTAAATTGTGCCGGTTGTCCTTGTCCTTGATCCTCCTGCCTCAGCCTTCCAGAGTGCTGGGATTGCAGGCCTGCACCCCCAGCTGGCTTATCCAGTATGTGTCTCATGGGCACGCTTGCTGTGCCAGGCTCTGTGCTGTGTGCCAAGCTGCCACTGAGCCTTGGGGCTGCCAGATGGAGGAGGCAGTGGAAGCAGCTTCAGTGCAGGATGTGTGCGAGGGCTCCGGACCAGGCGGGGACCAGGGCAGGGCAGTGACGGTACGGGTGGGGGTGGGGCCTGACAGCTGGAGGACTTGGTGTCCCTCCTTTGCTGTGGCGTTGAGGGAGGGCATCACACTGCCTCCCTTGACCTCACTGTCCTGGTCTGTGACACGAAGAGACCGTGAAGAAGCAGGATGCGCACACAGCACATGGCAGAACCTGGCACACAGGCCCCCGCCCTTTGTCCCTTCCCGGATGTGGCGCGGTGACCCTGCTCAGGGTTCCAGGACAAACCACCGTTCTGAGCGTACTTCTGTCCTGCCCCTGTGGGCAGCGGGGGCAGAGCGCTTTCTGTGGGAGAGGCCTGGTGGCAGGGTCCAGATGCTCAGGCCCTGGGGAGTATTACATCCAGCCAGCAGGTCCTCCCTACCACTCCAGTAACTCTCCCTCACACACAGAGTCAAGGCAACACTGCAGCCAGGCCTGGTGGTGCATGCCTGGAATCTCAGCACTCTAGCAGGCTGAGGCATGAGGGTCCCAAGTTTGAGCCTAGCCTGGGTAACTTAGGGACTTATGGAGACCCTGACTCCAAAAGACTAAAAACAGGCTAGGGTGTAGCTCAGTGAGAAGGCCCTAGGGTTCAATTCCCAGTACTAGAAAACAAAAAGTATCAAAAAGCCATGGGGTCACCACAGTCTATACGAAATGTGACCGAAGTTCTTTTCCAGCCAGGTGACATCTGCGGAAAGCTCTGCTAATGCTGACACGGACTGCAGGTCTAAACCGGAACCGTGCAGGGAAAGCCAGGGTCTGAGGACCTAAGCATGTGGCCCCATGTGGCCCCCGTGCCCTGCCTGCACCCTGGCTCCTTCCACACTCGGAGCGGGTGCTTCCCAGGGCCCCAGGGCCGGGGCTGGCTCTGAAGTCTCCTCTGGGGACACCAGGCCCGCCCTGTCCTGTGCCACCCCCACTCTTCCCAACCCCAAGGCTGCGGCTCCATGCTCAGCTCGCTGGGGTGGCCATGCCTGTCGGTCACACACCGCAGGCAGGTTGCTGTTAGTCCTGGGGGCCTCAGGCTCAAGCTCTGGCTCAGGCGTGAAGAGAAGGCAGAGGAGACAGACTCACCCCCCACCTGCCCCTGTGGCGGGACACGCGGAGCCACTGAACGCAGCGCCCCTCGCCAGGGTGCCCACACCCACCCCTCCCCCGGCCCCAGCCCCTCCACAGAACAGACAGGCCGGTCCCGTGCACTTTGACAAAAATGTATTTCTGTGACATCCCCACGCAGACGCATCCCCGGCCCTGGTGGAAAAGCAATGCGGTGCGAGCTCTGCATGGGGCTGGCGGGGCCGGCGGGGCCTGGGATGGAGGCTGCCGCGTGGACCCTGTGGCCGCAGGGGGAGCACAGGCGGCCCGGCTTGCTGGGAGAGGCTGCAGGAGGGGCCGCTCCCAGCTGGAGGGTGAGGCGCCCATGCCTCCAGCAACCTGCGGGGAGCAGGGAGGCCAGAGCCGCCAGGGCCACCTCCAGGGCAGCTCTGCTCCCCTGACCCATGCCGAGAGGGTCTCTTTGCCACCCAGGTGATCACAAGAACCAACTTCAAGCTCCAGCCTGGGGACACAGCTGCCTCTGGCAGGGACAGCCTGGCGGGCGTGAGAGGCAGGCCGGGGCTTGGTTGTGCTGGTGGGGTGCCTGGCCCCGCGGCTTACGGGCAGAAGAGAGCACAGAGCGCGTGACCCCGAGCCCCAGGCCCCAGGAGGTGCTGACTCCGGAGCTCAGCAGGTTCCGGGCGGGTTTGGCAGAGGGGCAGTGGCACTGCCCCCGAAACCTGGCTGTCCCAGGCTGGGGCGGTCAGCAGCCTGCGGCCGGTGGGAGGCTCGGAGGCAGCCTCCATAGCAGCGTGGCCCAGGCAGGCCCAGCCAGAGCCCCGCCCCTCATGGTCCTGGGGGCGCCCTGCGATCGGATCACATCCTGCCCTGGTGGCCGGCAGCCAGGAGCACCACGGCTTCAGGGAGACCCGTGGGGTTAGTTTAATCCCCAAAGCCCATCAGCCGCGCCTGGGACCCCGGGTGGGGATCTCAGACGTGCGCGGGTGGCTTTAGGGTGCCAGAGCCAGGCTGGGGCCCAAGTTCACCGGGGGAGGACCGGACAGTCACGTTAGAGGCGTCCAGGCGCGGGGTGGGGGGCGCGGCAGCGATGTCTGGAGCTGGGCTGGGAAGGGCCGAGGAGCTGCAAGGGCTCGGGGAGTCTCCTTTGTTTTTGTACAGAAATCATACACACAAAACTCCACACTACCTAACCAAAAAAAATAATATATATATATAATATATATATATCTCACTAACGTTAAGGAAAAGCGTCGGTTGTGCAAAAGTCCCCTCTGTCTCCTCGTCCCGCGGGGGCTCTGGAGGGCCTGCGCCGGGCCTCGTTGCTGCGGTACGGCGGAGGCCTCTATCTGGACGTGTCCATGTTCTCCTCTTTAAAGTTGCTGCAGTGCTCGATCACCTTGCTGTGGACATAGGGCAGAGGGCTGGAGGGTGGGCCGGGAAGCTCGCCGGCCAGGCTCACCCGGCGCTTCGGAAATTCCCAGCATCCCCGTTTACATGGCCGCCCAGGCCCAGCTCCCGGCCCTCAGGAAAAGAGAACGCGGGCTGCGGGTGTCTGCAGCACTCGTTCCTGGCGGTGCCGTAGGGAGACTAAGGTGGGGAAGCGCTCACTTCACCATCAGACTCAGCGGAGCCTTTCGCCAAAATGATGGCCGAGCAGCTGACTCCCGCAGCCCCCATCGCTGCATGGGCCCCTGTGCGCCAGGCCCCCGTCCCACGTTCCCTTAGACTCCAGCCCATGCTCGGAACTGTGACAAGAGCCCGGGAGGGCCTGGCTGTGCGCCCGGCGGAGGGGTCCTCCCTGCTGACTCAACATGGCATCCCTGACCCTTTCTCGCACACAGGTGGAGGAGAAAACCAGAACCCATGTTTAGATCTGGCGGTGAAGCCCACAGAACAGGACGACGACGACAACTCTGGCCCGCTGGTGACCTGCTTGTGACCCTCTTGCGGGACAAGGCTCTGAGGACGGGGCTCAGGGCCTTGAGGCAGCTGGGCGAGCGCTCCACCCTGGCGATCCCCCCAGCCCGGGGAGTCACGGCCTCGCGCTCTGAATCAAACTCAGGACCTTGCGCTTGCCAGGCGGGCGTGTGTGCCGCTGAGCTACATCTCCGGGCCCAACCACACTCAGTCCTATTTGGTTGCAGTGTCTTCTGCGGCTGAAGTGACAGGGAGGCCCGCGGGACCCCCATGTGCTGTCCGGCTCCACACTCAGGCCGCAGCGGCGCTGGGAACCCGGGCCCCTTAACCACCAGCAGACCCCGTGCCCTCCCGCCGGGCCGGGCCTCCAGGGGGAAGCACACGGCCAGCTCTCACCGGGCCATCTCCTTGGTCTCCTGCCGCGCCGTCGCCATCTTGATCATGTCCCTCAGAAGGGGCATCCCGCCTTCCTTGATCAGCAGGGGGCAGTACTTGTCGGCTGTGAGGCAGGGGCGGAGAGCTGCTGAGGGCTGGGTCTTCCACAGATCTGCCCCAGAAACCCACCCTCGCTGGAGGACCACCCTAAGGGATGGGGACGGTCACATCAGTCCAGCCTGAGGAGGGGGCTCCTGAGTCACCACACGCCAGTAACTCAGCACTCAGGAGGCTGAGGCCGTTGGATCACTGCAAGTTTGAGGCCAGCCTAGGCTACAACGTGAGTTCAAAGCCAGCCTGAACTGCACAGAGAAACCCTGTCTCAAAAAAGACCACCCCCAAATCAATAAATAAAATATAGACTCCTAAATTCTGTTTCTGTATGTTCAGATCCAGGACCTGCATTGATTTGTAAATTTTGTTGTTTCTATGGTACTGGGGATTAAACCCAGGGAAGCTCTACCCTGATCTACATATTCCCCCTTGTTCCCCGGGTGGGGGGGACTTGAACTTTCGATCTTCCTGTCTCAGCCTTCCTCAGGGTTGGATTGCAGGAGTGAGGGTGGCACGTGGCTTGGCTTGGGACTGCTAACAAAGCACCACCCTGTGGCTCTGGGTGCCGGCCGGGCTGGAACCACGGTGCTGTTCAGGCTCGTGTTCTGACAGCTCACGCATAGCAGGGCAGGCGGCACGAACCAAGTGGCCGGTGAACTCTGGGCAGCAGCGTCGCCTGCCAGGCGCTCTTGGTGACAGAAAGCAGAGGGCTCTGCCGTGGCAGTAGCTCGGGGCATAGCTCCCTGAGGGCACGGCTGCGAGAGGGGCAGTGGCACTCACGGTAGACAGACACGAGGTTGTACAGGGCCCAGGTGGCCCAGTGCTGGCTGACGGGGGAGATTCCCTGGGGCAGCAGGCGGAGGATGGGCTCGAAGGACCTGCGGGCAGAGACAGTGAGCTGACCAGGCTGCCGCACAGCGCGGCCCCAGACGGAGGCAGAGCGCCGGGGACCCCTGGCAAGGTGGCCCACCCTGGCGGCCGAGGAATTTCAGTGCTTGGGCACTCGGCTGAGCTGCCAGCGAGGCCTCATCCTCCCCGTGTGAGTTTCCCACTCAAATGTCCATCCGCCCAGGGGACCACGAACCACATGGTCAGGCGACAGGTGCTCGTAGCGGGCATATGGCTCCAATGCAGCAAGAGCAGACACCAGAGGGACACAGCACATGTGCGGGGCTCCACTGGGAGCGGGAGCTGAAGGGGCGCCGTGCCATCTCCCCGTGGGCGTCTGTGTCAGGTACTGCCAAGCACAGGCAGCCCCAGGTGCCAGGTGAGCTCAGGGTGCCCTGTGCTCTCAGCTGCGTGTGGCGTGGGCCTGGTAAGCGGTAATGGGCCTCTTGGAGGACGCTGGCCACCCCAGGGAAGAGGTCCCACCCGCCTCCCGCGGCACCTGTAGTTGATGTTCCTGCGGGAGTTGATGTCCCAGCTCTGGATGGCCGCCCACATGCGCTCCTCCACCTCTGCCCGCTGCGGCTCACACACGCCCCAGGCCTCCGGCCCGTCGAACATGATGTGGGACAGGACGCCGCAGGCATTGTAGGACACCTCGATGCCGTCGGCCTTGCTCTCCAGCAGGTTGCTACGGGAGGAGGGAGCGAGGTGGGCTCCTGGAGCTTGCTGCATTCTAGCTGTTTTCTGCTGTTGTTGTTCTGTCTGTTTGAGACAGGTCCTGGCTATGCAGTCCAGGCTGGCCTTGAACTCATGGTGATCCTCCTGCCTCAGTCTCACTAGTGCTGGGATTACAGGCGTGCACCACCACGCCTAGGGAAATTTATTTTTATTTATTATTGATGTTTTACAGAACTGGTGATTGTTCACCACCTTCACGCTAAGTTGCATCTCCAGCCCTTCTGTATATTGAGATAGGGTGTTGGTAAGTTCCCAGATTTTCCAGGCTGGTCTTGAACTTGCAGTTCTCCTGCCTCAGCCTCTCAGAGGGCTAGGATTACAGGCATGCACCACCTTGCCTGCCTTGGATTGCAATTTATAAACCAGATGCCAGGGGAACTATTTATTTTATTATAACTTAGTGTTTACACTCGGATTTCCTAAAAGGTTATTTGGGTTACTTAACATACAGTTACGAGAAGACCACGGTTTGCAGGCTGAAAGAATAACGAAGCACACTTCAGAGGGAAGGGGACGTCTATATCAGAAATGTAGGCCAAGAGCGTCACAGCGGCTGAGCAGACTGCAGTCCTCAGCATCCTGGCAGCCAGGGAAAAAACGGAAAGGAGACTAGTACTGACCTGAAGACACTGATGAACTGGGAAGTCATCAGCTGAGGCCGCAACTCCTTCACCTCCGCCACGTTCCCCAGCAGTCCCAGCATGTTCCGGTGCAGTTCCTGCTTCTCTGGGAATTCCTGGCAACGTGAGACCCAACGGGGCCACTCAGAACTGAGTTACTTAGCGTCTGGTGTTGTTAACCTGAACGTTTTACGGGCGTCTGCCTGGCCCTTCCAATTAGATGAGGGGAGGCAGCGCACAAGGCCACCCCCGTGATTTCTGGTGGCCTCGGGGAGAGCTGTGTGCACAGCTGAGGGCGGAGAAGGTGGCGGCTGCCAAGGGAGCTGAGCTCTGGGGCCAGTGTGGCTCTGACTACCCAGGCTCGGAGGACTGGTCTGTGGAGTCCCTGCGGGAGCGGGGTGGGGGGTGACAAGGCGTAGGGAAGCCAGCGGGTGGCTGTCGCCCCGTGGACTGAGAAGTCAGGGGCCAGCAGGCCATGGGGAGCTTGTGAGCAGCGAACCGGGGCTGGGACCCGACTGGCCGAGGCGAGGCCCGGCCCGTCCAGCCGCGAGGGCCCCACCTTCAGGCAGTCCAGGAAGAGCTTCATGCCATTGTAGTTGAGGAACATCTCGCAGTTGTCCGGCGTCTCGTCCGTGATGTTCCACAGGGCGCTCCAGGAGAACTCCATGACCTGGTCACACTGTGAGGGACGCGGGGCTCAGGTCGCACCGGCACCCAGAGCAGCAGCCCCGGCGAGCTGTCCCTCGGGCCGCGGCCGCCCCGGAGCCCCACTTACTATCTTGTCCAGCAGCTTCTTCTGAATCAGCTTCAGCATGGTCTGCAGCAGAGGAGAGAACCAGAGGCGGTCAGGGCTCGAGGGCGGCCGCACCCCAGGCCCCGGCAGGGAGCGGGGCTCAGAACCCCTCCGGGGAATGCACCCAGGAAGATGAAGTGTCCCTGTCTCTTTCGGAGGTGGCTGGAGGACGCGCACCACAGAGCCTGGAACCTGGTGGCAGGGGGCCTGGGAGCTGGCTCTGGCCTCATGCTGACTCCCTGGCAACGACGGCACAAACTGCCCTACTGCGGGCTGCTTCCCCAGAGATTACAGGAGAGGAGAGAAGGCGCACCCTAGTCCTTTTTCTTTTCTTTTTTTTTTTTTTGGTTTTTCTCTGGTACCGGGAACCGAACTCATGACCTTGTGCTTGCCGGGTAGGCGCTTTGCCACTGAGCTAAATCCCCAGCCCCCCTAGTCCTTTTTCTTTTTTTCTTTCTTGGTGTTTTGAGACAGGGTTTCTCTGTGTAGCCCAGGCTGGCCTCCAACTCATGGTGCTCCTCCTGCCTCAGCCTCCTGAGTGCTGGATCATGGGTGTGCGCCATCATGCCCGGCCTGCCTTAGTTCTTACCTTCCTTTGGCCAGCAATATCGATCCTCTCCCTCCATGTGCTAGACTCAGGTGAGGAATTTACCCACCGGAGGCCAGGACATGCTGGTAAGGACAGTGACAAAAGACAGGCACCCAGCCCTGCTTCGGGGCTCGGCACGTGCGGCTGGCGTCAGGCAGCCGCACTTACCTGACCCCAGCGCGGGTGCACCGTGGGGACAGCAGACATGGTCTGGGGAGCTGACCTGCAGCGCTGCTGCCCGCCTGGGACCCGCACCCCCGGACCCTGGTGCAGCGCAGCCCCGCCCTCACGTACCACGACGAAGCCCATCTTGCCCACGGCCTCCTTGTGGCCGTTGTCCACCTGGCAGACCAGGGCGTTGCACAGGTGCACGGCGATGCGCTGGATTGACTCGTCCTGCCGCGCGGGGCTGAGGATGCCGAGCAGCAGCTCGTTGACGCGGCGGTACTGGAATTCCAGCTCCTCGGGGATGCTGAAGTTGCACAGGGTCAGGCAGCAGTTCCGCTGCACCTGCGGGCACAGGCATGAGTGGTGCGCACGGCCTCAGCCTGGAGGCTCTCTGGAGGCTCGGGGTCGCAAAGAGCGGGGTGCTTTGGGAGGGCTTCCTGGGAGGGAGGCTACAGGCTTGGCTTTTATATTTTAAAATGCAAAATATTTATAGAGAAGGATACAAAAAGCACAAATGTAACTGCACAAATAACTATACAGTGTGCACCCATGAACTACTTCCTGGGCCAAGAAATAGCTCTGACAGTGCCAGAAGGACCCGTATGTCCCTTCCTGATCGTAAGCTCTGGCTTCCCCCTACCCCGGGAGCCACTGCCCTGGACTCTTGCTTCTCTCTGCTCAACATGCTTGCAACAGCCACCATTGTTACGTGCAGCTAAAAATGCCCTCACTTTTCACCACAGTATAGTATTCCATCACAATGCCTGCTTACTCATCCTCCCGCCACTGGGGTTGGGGCATTGGCTGACCACTGAGAATATGTATTACACGCCTGGTGGCCCTTCTGGGTCTTCAGCTTTACTAGGAAATGCCAGGCTACCTTCCAGGGTGGGTGTGCTACTTACAGCCCCACTAGGGGTGCATGAGGGCTCAGGGTGCTCCTAGCCCTCACTTCCTCTTTGCACCCTGGGAGGTCTGTTTGCATTTTGAGGCAAGCTCTCACTATGTAGCCTTGGCGGGCCTTGAATGCATGGGAATCCTCCTGCCTCAGCCTCCCAAGAGCTGGGATTACAGGTGTGCAGCCACAGCACCAGTTATTATTTTTTCTGGACTATTTTTATATTCTCCTTTATTAATTTCTTTTTTTGTTTGTTTGTTTTTTTCCCAGTACCAGGAATCGCACTCACAACCTTGCGCTTGCCAGGCAGGCACTGTGCCGCTGAGTTAAATCCCCAGCCCACCAGTTATTTTTTCTCAACTATATCTTCACAGTGTTCTCAGTGCTGTTTCTTTTTTGAGACAGGGTCTCACTATATTCAGGCTGGCCTTGAGCTCACTATGCAGCTGCCCAGGCACTGGGATTACAGGAGTGTCCACCACCATGCCTGGCACAAAGGACTTTCTGCCACTGGAGTCCTTCCTCCTTTTCATATTAGCTACTAGAAGTTCACCCTCTTTTGCTAACCCCATTCTCCCCAATACTTATTTACTAAGTACACACACTAGCCATGGCACGGCGGCGCATGCCTGCAATCCCAGCACTCGGGAGGCTGAGGCAGGAGGACCGTTGTGAGTTCGAGACCAGCCTGGGCTACAAAGTGAGCTCAAGGTCAACATAAACTGCATAGTAAGACCCTGTCTCAAAATGACCAAAAAAAAAAAGTACACACACCGTTTTTTTCCTGTGCTGGGAATTGAACCCAAGGCCTTATGAGTATTAGGCAAGTGCTCTACCACTGAGCTGTACTGAGGCCCCATGTATTTTTTTTTGTACCAGAAATCGAACTCAAGACCTTGTGCTTACCAGGCAGGTGCTTGTGCCACTGAGCTATATCCCCAGCCTCCCATGTATTTTTTTTGAGAAAAACTACCTTAAATTATAAAAATAACATTTATTCACTGTAAAAAAAAAAAAAAAGTAATAGGCTGCTGTGAGCAGAGTGAGTCCCCAGTTCATCCCTAGAAGTAATCACTGCTAGTCTGGTGTGCGTCCTTCTAGATTTCTTCCTCATGCGGGGCGGTGGGTAGAAAAAGGCATCAGACTGGGCCACTTAGCCATACGCAGGGGATACCTGGTGGGTGCTGGTGGCACATGCCTGTCAGCCCAGCACTTGGGAGGCTGAGGCAGGAGGACCACCGTTGAGTTCAGGGTCACCCTGGGCTACTTAGTGAGTTCAAGGCCAGCCTGGGCTGCATAGCCAGACCCTGCCTCAAAAAAACTCAATGACCAACCTGGCTGCTGCGTTAGCAACTCTGCCATGGGTGGGCAGCGTGGCCACGGCTTCAGGCTCCAGGCCATGTCAAGTGGCCTTTCGTTCAAAAAGGATGCTGAGGGGCTGGACATATAGCTCAGTGGCACAGTGCCTGCCTGGCAAGCGCAAGGTCGTGAGTTTGATTCCCGGTACCGGAAGAAAAACAAACAAACAAAAAAAAAACCAAAAAGGATGCTGAACACCATGCTGGAGTCCACAGATATAAACCCCCACTGTCAGCTGCTCCTGGGGAGGAGAGATAGGATTGTGAATGACTTTCACTTTCTAGGCAACTCACTCGGCTGTTCCTCTAAGTTGTTTTTAAAATATTAAGTCTATTATTCTTGTAATCAGAAAGGAAATTTTTTTTTGGTACCGGAAATTGAACTCAGGCCCTCACACTTGCCAGGCAGGTGCTGCACTGCTGAGCTAAATCCCCAGCCCCTCAGAGAGGAAACATTAACAAATGTGTGGCAAAAATATGTTTGCCAGAGGACCAAGGATGGGGGAGGGGCCGGGGAGGGAGGAAGTAGAAACAATTAGGAGGTGCTTCGTATGTGCACCAACTCGCCCTGACAAATGTAATCGCTACCTACAGAAAATACACGCTAATAAAAATAAAAGCTCTAAAAAATACGTTTGCTGATGTGACAGGTGTTCACATTCACAAGACACTACTGAAGCAAATGTCCACATTCCACACACTGCTGTTTACCAACCATGAACGCACAGGCTAAAATCCAGGACTAGAGACATCCCATGTTCATGGTGGTGAGCTTATGGGTGACTTTTATTTTTCTTATAGCTGTAATTACAATTTTTTTTTTTTTTTTTTTGTCTTTTTGAGACAGGGTCTCACTATGCAGTTCAGGCTGGCCTTGAGCTCACTTTGTAGCCCAGGCTGGTCTCAAACTTGCAACGATCCTCCTGCCTCAGCCTCCCGAGTGCTGGGATTACAGGCATGCACCACCATGCCCAGCCCAAGTGTTCTAATGTTAAACAAGTAAAAGTTATTACTTCTTTTGGTGTGTATGGTGCCAGGGATGTAACTGAGAGCCTCCTACACATTTTAGGAAGGACGCCACGACTGAGCCACAACCCAGCCCCCGTTTTTTATTACTTTCTAATAAAACAGCTATTGATGTCATGTGGCCCAGCCGAACAGAGTATCTGTGATGGACAGCACAGCCGGGGCCAGAGGCTGGAGGCCTGCACCACACAGGGTGGCAGAGCCTGGGTGGGGCTGCAGAAGGGCTGGGTTCTGGGGAGCCCGGGTGCTGGCTAGGATGGGGGCTGGGCAGGAGGGGGACGGAGCCAGGAGGCCTTGGGGAGGGCTGGGAGAGGGAGCGGGTGGGGGCTCACCGTCACCTCCTGGTAGGACTCCATGCCATTCAGCACCACCTGGATGACCTGGCGGCGCAGCCGGACGCTCTGCTCGGAGCGGTACTCGGCGTTGGTCAGGTAGAAGAGGGCGGCGCTCCCTGTCACTTGGATGTTCTTGTCGTACTTGTGGCACTTGAGGGCCGTGATGACCAGCTGTGTGGAGAGGGTGACAGGCGACCTGCGAGCTCAGTGGGACAGGCCTCGCCTGCAGGAGGGGGGCGGGGGGCTCCTCTGGGGCCGCAAGAGCACTGGCCCCGTGAACCAGGGCGGACAGAGGGACGGGACGGACCAGGGCAGGACAGCGCCCTGACAAAAGCTGTGCAGAGGCAGGCCAGGTGTGGTGGGCAGGGCTGGGAAGGCCGCCCCTGGGGGAGGGGCTGCGCTCTCCAGGCGGCACCGACCTTCAGGGCCCGCAGGAGCTGGGTGCAGCGCTCGATGCGCGCGATGTCGAAGAGCAGGTTGATGGCCCGCGACGCGATCTCCGGCCGGTGCTCCGTGTAGGCCTCGATGGCGTTCAGCACCTGCTCCTCGTTTTTGTCACCACTCACCTGGGTACAGGGACGTGGGTGGCATCCCCGGCCCCAGGGGCTCCCTTGTCCCTCCTTAGCCCCCCCGCCCCGACGCTCACTTTGTAGGCCGGGATGTGCGTGAGGCGGCACAGCGAGGTCTCGAAGAGCCCGAGGAACTGCAGGGGCCGCTTCAGGGCGCGGAAGGGCATGATGCTGCTCTTGGCCGGCTCGGTGCTGCGGGAGAGCTGCCGGTCAGGGCCGGGGTGTGGGGGCGACGCTCCAGGACCGGCGCGCTCTCCTAGGCCCTCCAGCTCATCCTCTTTTTTCCTTTAAGGGTGGGGAACAAAGTCCCCACCTCTGGGTGGCAGGGTGGTGAGGTCCCACCGGAGCCACCATGTGGGAAGGGAGGGACTGCTTCAGTCCTCGTGGGAAATATCACTGGCCGCTGTGGCAAGGACACGACGCCTTAAGTTTCAGCCGTCACTGAGGGACGCGCTCATCCACGGAACTGCGCTGCAGTCTGCTCCGACCCCGGGCACCCCACCGCCCACCTGGACACTGACCTATCTGCAGCAGCAACCCTGACCAGCAGACACTGCTGTTGTCTCTCTCTCCTTGGGACTGAACTCAGAGCTTTCACCTTCACACTGAGCTCCATCCCCAGCTCTTTTTTATGTGGGGCTGGAGATTTAGCTCAGCGGCACGAGCGCCTGCCTGGCAAGCACAAGGTCCTGAGTCTAATTCCCAGTACAAAAAAAAAAAAAATTGCTTTTTATGTGGACACAGGCTCTTGCCAAATCCCCGGTTGGCCAGCCTGGGCTCAAACTTCCCATCTTCCTGCCTCAGCCTCCCAGGGTGCTGGGATCACAGGTGTGCGCCACCCCTGGCTGGCGTCATCTCGTCACACTGTGGTCCTGGTAGTCGGGGCAGCTCCACCCGCACACACTGTCCCGTTGCTGGTCCCCAGGCCTTTGGCAAACTCAGGAGAACGAGCTTGCGGGCCAGCTGGGGGCCACGTCTCCTCCCTCTCCCTCCTGATGCTCAGGGCCACCCGACCCCGAACCCCTCCGACCCAGGAAGACCCAGGAGGCAGGGCCCGGCTCGCTTGCTCAGCGGTGGCAGCAAGCCCTGGCAGGGCGGGCACACTTGGCCCATGCAAGGCGGCGGTGGCAGCCCTGGCAGCGGCGCCCACCTGGTCTGGCCGGCCTCCTCGTCCATCTTGGAGATGCTGCAGTTCTCCAGGATCATGTGGCCAGAGATGTCCAGCGACATGAGGTTCCCCAGCTTCTGCACGAAGAGGCTCAGCGCCTTCCGCGTGAGCTTGAACTTGTAGTAGCTGGAGAGGCGGTCGCGGGAGATGTCCAGGTGCCTGGGCGGGGGCCGCAGGTCAGGGTCTCACTCCTGCCGCACCGAGCAGGGAGTCTGGGCCGCCACAGCCCCTCCCAGGCACTCGGGGAGTCCCACCGGCACCCCGCCGGGCCCTAGCGATGGTCTCACTTCCACTTCCGTCCTCAGCCTGGCCCTGCCCTCCCGTCCTCGCCACCTCCCCACCCTGCTCACCGCAGCTTGTGCAGCTGGACGATGACCCGGATGTGGTCATCCGACAGGTCCATGTTGTAGAGCACGAGGGACACCAGGCTGTCCTTCCACTGGGTCAGGAAGGCTGCGTCACTTGTCTGGATGCCTGAGAGGTCCAGGGCGGCCAGCGAGCTGAGCGGCCTCAGCAGCGATTCCACAGGGACCCCGTCAATCATGCGGCCCAGGTTGAGGAAGCGCAGGCGGCTGAAGCCTTCGAAGGTGAAGTCCTTCACCAGCACCTGGCAGGTGGGGTTCACCAGGCACTCGTCCTCGCAGCCCCCCGGGTTCTCCTCCTCGTAGAAGATGTTGGCGCAGCCGAAGAGGCTCAGGGACACCAGGGTGTGGCTGAAACTGCGCAGCGTCTGCAGGCTCTTGGCGGACAGCTTCTCGCAGTTGGTCAGGTACAACTCCACCAGGTCCTGCGGGCGCAGCCCTGTCAGCGCCGCCGCCACCTGCCCGCGGGCCCTCTCTGCCCGCTGTGCCTGGACCCCGCGCGGCGGCCTCACCTGCTTGTGGATGGCCTCCAGGTCCTGGTCCTGCACCAGGTCCTCGCGCAGGTGGATGCGGGTGAGGCGCGTGCTGCGCGGGTCGGAGAACAGGCTGAAGAAGCTCTCGTGGGGCTCGAAGGCGCAGGCGGCGTTGACCAGCTCCACGTACCTGGGAGACAGAGGCCTGCTCGGGTGTGCCCAGCCCTGGCTCCCTCAGTGCAAGGCCTCCCTCCCCGAAGCCTGGCAGAGTCTCCTGCGGTGGCCTCCTCCTCTTCCTCCTCCTCCCAGTGCCTGACTGGGGCTTGACTACAGATCAGGCAAGATTCAGGGTACCCAAGGGACCAGAATCTAAAGGCAGCTCTTGGGGTGACCTGGTGGTACAGGGGCCTCATCTTCCTTTCTTTTCTCTCCCTTCCTTGTGAGACAGGGTTTTGCTAGGTAGTTAAGGCTGGCCTTGAACTCTATGTAGTCCAGGCTGGCCTCAAACTCACAGCAATCCTCCTGCCTCAGCCTCTAAGTGCTGGGATTATAAGAAAGTGAACATACAGATTTTTACACTGCCTCATCCCCAAACACACACATGCACATACCCCTGTGCCTTGGAAGAAGAGTGTATGATACATACTTGTTCCTGCATGTGCATACTCTGCTACACACATCCCAACACACACACACACACACACACACACACACAAATGGTACGATACACCACCACTTTGCTCCCACCAGCACCCCTGTGCACGTGCACCCCGTGTACATCCGCACTCACAGCCATCTCTCAAGCAGGCACAGGGTCATGCTCCACCCCGCCCCGCCCGGCCCCGGGCTGCTCACTCATTGACCAGCCGGTCACAGATCTCGCTGGGCAGGAAGATGTCCGGATGTAGCCGCAGGGTCTCCTTGTCCAGCAGATACCCCAGGGTGCCGTCCAGGTTGCGCAGGCAGAAGTCAGTGCAGAGGGCCATCAGGGACTCGGGGGTGTCAGATGCCATGCTGGGGGCGGCAGGCGGCCACTCCAGGACAGGCCCCCCCGGGCAGCGGCGACACCTCAGCTCTCACAGGATCATTGGATGAGCCACACCTGGGGAAGCAAACAGAAACCAGGTGACCTACAGCTCAGGGCACGCACCTTCAGCCATCCTGTGCCCGCAGAAACTGAGGCCCTCGACATCACATGCAAATTAGCAGCTTAGTTGGGGCAGGCCAAGACTCCTGACTCACTCACTCATTCATTCATTCATTCATTCACTCATGAGACACAGTCTCAGTGTGCAGTTTAGCCTGGCTTTGCACTCTCTATATAGCCCAGGCTGGCCTCGAACTTGCACAGATCCTCCTGCTTCAGCCTCCCCAGCACTGGCATTACAGACCTGTGCCACCACGCCCGGGCTGGCTCCTTCGCTTGCCCCTCTCTGCTGCACTACCACGTATGCATGACCAGACCTGCAAAGAACAAGGGGCCTTGTCCAGGGATCCTTTCGCCTGCGCAATGCCTCTGGGCGGCCGGGTGTATTGGGGCCCCACCGCTTGGGACTAATAGGAACTTTACCACATGCTTCTCGAAGTCTTAATAGCTACAGCACAGCGTCCTGTGCAGAGCAGAACTGTCTAACCCACACACACTTACTGCTAATGAGCACTTAGCATGGGGCACGCCTCAGACATAACACTGCATCTCGGGGCATATGATTAAGCACGAAAGCCCCCACAACAGCGTGACACCTGTCCATGCAGAAACCTGTGCATGAGTGTCCAGCACAGCACTCTTCCTAGCAGTGCAAAAGGGGAGCAGTGCAAATGGCCTTAGGCTGATGAACGGGTCAACAAAATCTGCTCCCTCCCCAGAATGCTAAATATTACTGAATTGCAAAAAGGTGAACATAGGGCTGGGGATATAGCTCAGGGGCACAGCGCCTGCCTGGAAAGCTTGAGGTCCCAAGTTCGATTTCCAGTACCAAAAACAAAAAAAGGTGAACATAGTTGGGTGTGGTGCCCCATGCCTATAACCCCAGAACTCAGAGGCTGGAAGATCAGAAGTCCAGCCTAGGCAACTTAGCAAGATACTATCTCAAAATAAAAAAATTAAAAATGTTTTAAAAAGGGGCGGGGGATGTGGCTCCATGCAAAGGCCCTAAGTTCGATCCCCACAGCCGTAACACAAAAACAATACCAGGAAGAGTTGGGCACAGTGACATACATGTATAATCCCAGCTACCTGGGAGGCTGAGGCAGGAGGATTGCAAGTTCCGGCTGAAAACACAGTGAGACCTTGTTTCAAAACTAAAATGGGCAGGGGATGTATCTTTGTGCTCCCTGGGTTCAACTGTCCATATTAGGAGAGAAGAAGAAAAAAAAAGAGAAAGAAAAGAAGAGAAAAAAAAATACATTAAGAAAAAGAGGCTGATGCTGTAGTGCATACCTATAATCTCAGCTACTTGAGAGGCTGAGGCAGAAGGATCATGAGTTCAAACCCAGCCTGCGCAATTCAGCAAGACCTCTGTTAAATAAAAAAAAAA